GCCTGGGTGACAGAGCAAGACCCCATCTCTACAAAAAATTATTTTAAAAATTAGCCAGGAAGGATGGTGTACACCTGTAGTCCCAGCTACTTAGGAGGCTGAGGCAGGAAGATCACTTGAGCCCAAGAGTTTGAGGCTGCAGTGAGCTATGATTGTGTCACTGCACTCCAGCCTGGGCAACAGAGTGAGGCCCTGTCTCTTAAAAGAAAAGAAAAGAGTGGCTCAAGCCTGTAATCCCAGCACTTTGGGAGGCCGAGATGGGCGGATCACGAGGTCAGGAGATCGAGACCATCTGGCTAACATGGTGAAACCCCGTCTCTACTAAAAACACAAAAAAACTAGCCGAAGGCGATGGCGGCGCCTGTAGTCCCACGCTACTCGGGAGGCTGAGGCAGGAGAATCGCGTAAACCCGGGAGGCGGAGGTTGCAGTGAGCTGAGATCCGGCCACTGCACTCGGCCGGGCAGCAGAGCAAGACTCCGTCTCAAAAAAGAAAAGAAAAGAAAATGGAAGAGATGGTTAAGGCAGAATGATAGGAAAAGGAAAGAACAAATCCTTGGGGATCTTTAGATCTAAGGGATTGGGGTAAAAAAAAAGTAAACAGCAAAGAAAGAGCAGTGAGTAGCAGAAGAGTTATGAAGAATGCAATGGTTTGTTCAAATGAAAAAAGTAATATAATACAAAGGGATGAGGCCTAATTAAAAATTAGAGGTCAAGAACCATGTTTGACATTGTCTCACACATAACTTTACAATCTTAATGTTAGTCCTAACAACAAACCTGAGAAGTCATTAGCATCACCATCATCATCTCCACCTTCATCATTACATTTTATGCAAAGTACCTGAGGCTTAAAGAGGCGAAGTTCTCAGCGTTATATACAACATGAAATAACTGATATTCAAACACAGATCTGACACCAGACACCCTTTTCCACTACATCATGTGTGGGGTGGAGGATATATCGCTTCAAATGACTCCAAACACCAGAGGAAGTTAAAGAGCTAAACATGACTGTTAGATTTGGAGTCACTGTGTACCTTGTGGCAAGACTTGGCTGAATCCAGGTGGGGAAGCCAGTGAGCAACAGGCTGAGATACAGAAGAGCAAACAGAAGGAATTAGAGTGAGGCTGCCACTCCCAAGATGCTTGGCAGTGAAAGCAGGAGGGAATAAGCAAACTTTTGAAACCAGAACTAAGCACATCTGAGGCACATAGGCCAGAATCGAGTGGTGGAGGAGTTAAGAGGCTGATGTTAGACTCATGGCTCATTTCTTCTACCCACCCCCAAACAATGATGGAGTGGCAAGGGTCCACAGTACAGCACCAGCAGAGAGGATATTTCCATACCATCCTAATGACTACTCTGAGCTTTGGGATGTATGACTCTCACCTGGCTTTGGGATGACATAGCTTGCAAGTATGCTGCCATGAGAAAGTGGCATGAGGGTTAATCTGCTGTGCATGGTTTCTCCTAGACATGTCACTGATGGGCTCCTGAAAGGCACGGACGCAGCCCAAGCTGCACAATTACATAGCTATGGAAAGGCCCGGCCGCCCAGAGAGAGTCCTGAAAAGAGCCAGGAGGGGCAGCCACACCTCAGCCAGCCAGCCACAGCACAGGTGCCCCACAGAGATACGAAGTCAGAAATGGTGCACTTTGTCCGGCATGACGGTTCACCAGCACAGAGCTCCCCTGTGGCCATCCAGCCCTCGCAGCACTCCGTGGCCCTGCTGAACCCTGCTCAGAACTTGCCTCACGTGGCCAGCTCCCCCGCCGTCCCCCAGGAAGTAAGCTCCACCCTGCAGACGTTGCAGGCTCCACAGTCGCCACAGACACCCATGAATGGAGTCTGCATGCAGAGCTTGTTCATTGAAGAAATCCACAGTGTGAGTGCAAGAACAGGGCAGTGTCTATCGGTGAGTCCTATTTCCATTTCCTCATAACCCCATAAAGGAGTCTGATACATGGGCCCTTGCCCTCAAAGCATTTATAGGCCGGATGATGACATAATTGTGTATGGATCAGAGATAGGATTTTGGAAGTGGAAGTGGGATTCAGTAGCCAGGTGAAGAGATGGGTCCTCTGGTTTCAGAAGGGTGAGACACCTAGCCTGTAGGAAGGGGTGAGGCAGTGGTGTGCTGGTAAATGTTTAACAACCAGCTCTCTGGTACCGGTTGTGGTAGAGGGGTTGGCGGGCGCTTCTCTATGTGTGGCATTTGCCAATTTCCATCAGTGTAAATATCACAACCGTGGCTGATTTCAAATTACGACATGACACCACTGCTGCTGAAGTTGGGGAAGAGGTCTGACAATCAGCTCTCTGGGCCAGGACAGCTTCAAGCCTCCCATTGCGGTGAAACAGCCCTAAGTCTGCAACTCATGTAGGTGATAAGTGGAACCTGGTTGAGGAGGTGGTGGACATTCTAGGATACTAACATGCTGGATCAAAGTCTGGGACCGTGACTAAGCCTGTCTAAGTGGAACAAAACTGAGGACCTAAGACTGAAATGGGCTGGAAACTGAAGCAGGAAGCAAAAGCAGTCCATGATGTTTGGAGTTTATTTGGAAGAGGAAGGTGTCAGAGAAATGCTGCAGCAGATCCATGATTTTTTAAATGCATCTTGCAAATTAATCTAGAAACAACATACAGAATTGATTGAAATTAATTGGGTCTAGAATTAAGAGAGCTGGATGAGAAGTTACTGTAGTCATCTAAGAATGAACGGTAGAGCAGTCAGAATGAAAAGAAAAAAACTAGGTCTTAGATCAAATGACAGCAGGGCCATGTCTTGGTGGCTTATGCCTGTAATACCAGCACTTTGGGAGGCTGAGGCGGGTGGATAACTGGAACATGAGTTCAAGACTAGCCTGGGCAACATGGCAAAATCCCAACTCTACCAAAAAAAATATACAAAAATTAGCTGGGCGTGGTGGCACGTGCCTGTAGCCCCCAGCTACTCGGGGAGTTTGGTGGGTGGATGCCTAGGTCCAGGAGGTCAGAAGGCTTCAGCCGAGCCAAGATCCCATCACTGCACTATAGCCTGGGTGACACAGCGAGACCCTGTTTTAAAAACCATGAGATCAAATGACATATTACATTTGGAAATATTCTTTTTATCAAGGGCTGAGTATCAATGCTCCAATAACACATTTGGCTTTTCTACTTACCTTTTCTTTAGCACCCTCAAGTAACTTTTCCTCCACTCATTTGTATCCCCAGCAACCTTGTCCTAACCCTCCTGCCTCTACTGAAAATCACCAGTGGAGAGCTCAGGTTGCAGAATATATCAGAACGACCTGTAAACTGCCACAGCCGCGGTCACAGCCTCCAGGCCTCAACGGCCACTGCACTCCAGCCCGGGCAACAGAGCAAGACTCCGTCTCAAAAAGAAAAGAAAAGAAAATGGAAGAGATGGTTAAGGCAGAATGATAGGGAAAGGAGAGAACAAATCCTTGGGGATCTTTAAGAATCTAAGGGATTGGGGTAAAAAAAAAAAAGTAAACAGCAAAAGAAAGAGCAGTGAGTAGCAGAAGAGTTATAGAATGCAATGGTTTTGTTCAAATGAAAAAAAGTAATATAATACAAAGGGGATGAGGGCCTAATTAAAAATTAGAGGTCAAGAACCATGTTTGACATTGTCTCACACATAACTTTACAATCTTAATGTTAGTCCTAACAACAGGCCCTGAGGAAGTCATTAGCATCACCATCATCATCTCCACCTTCATCATTACATTTTATGCAAAAGTACCTGAGGCTTAAAGAGGCGAAGTTCTCAACGTTATATACAACATGAAATAACTGATATTCAAACACAGATCTGACACCAGACACCCTTTTCCACTACATCATGTGTGGGGTGGGGAGGGATATATCGCTTCAAATGACTCCAAACACCAGAGGAAGTTAAGGAGTAAACATGACTGTTAGATTTGGAGTCACTGTGTACCTTGTGGCAAGACTTGGCTGAATCCAGGTGGGGAAGCCAGTGAGCAACAGGCTGAGATACAGAAGAGCAAACAGAAGGAATTAGAGTGAGGGCTGCCCTCCCAAGATGCTTGGCAGTGAAAGCAGGAGGGAATAAGCAAACTTTTGGCTTAGAACTAAGCACATCTGAGGGCTGCATAGGCCAGAATCGGGTGGTGGAGGAGTTAAGAGAGGCTGATGTTAGACTCATGGCTCATTTTCTTCTACCCACCCCCCAAACAATGATGGAGTGGCAAGGGTCTGAGTACAACAGCACCAACAGAAAGGGATATTTCCATACATGTCCCTAAGCAGCTACTCTGAGCTTTGGGATGTATGACTCTCACCTGGCTTTGGGATGACATAGCTTGCAAGTATGCTGCCATGAGAAAGTGGCATGAGGGTTAATCTGCTGTGCATGGTTTCTCCTAGACATGTCACTGATGGGCTCCTGAAAGGCACGGACGCAGCCCAAGCTGCACAGTACATGGCTATGGAAAAGGCCACGGCCGCAGAAGTCCTGAAGAGCCAGGAGGAGGCAGCCCACACCTCCAGCCAGCCCTTCCACAGCACAGGTGCCCCTGGCGATGCGAAGTCAGAAATGGTGCCTTTGTCCGGCATGACGGTTCACCACGCACAGAGCTCCCCTGTGGCCATCCAGCCCTCGCAGCACTCCGTGGCCCTGCTGAACCCTGCTCAGAACTTGCCTCACGTGGCCAGCTCCCCCGCCGTCCCCCAGGAAGTAAGCTCCACCCTGCAGACGTTGCAGGCTCCACAGTCGCCACAGACACCCATGAATGGGTCTGCCATGCAGAGCTTGTTCATTGAAGAAATCCACAGTGTGAGTGCCAAGAACAGGGCAGTGTCTATCGAGGTAGAGTCCTATTTCCATTTCTCATAACCCCATAAAGGAGTCTGATACATGGGCCTTGCCCTCAAAGCATTTATAGGCCGGATGATGACATAATTGTGTATGGATCAGAGATAGAGTTTTGGAAGTGGAAGTGGGATTCAGTAGCCAGGTGAAGAGATGGGTCATCTGGTTTCAGAGAAGGGTGAGACACCTAGCCTGTAGGAAGGTGAGGCAGTGGTGTGCTGGTAAATGTTTAACAACCAGCTCTCTGGTACCGGTTGTGGTGGGGGGTTGGCGGGGGCGCTACTCTATGTGTGGCATTTGCCAATTTCCATGGTGTAAATATCACAACCGTGGCTGATTTCAAGTTACGACATGACACCACTGCTGCTGAAGTTGGGAAGAGATGTGACAATCAGCTCTCTGGGCCAGGACAGCTTCAAGCACTCCATTGCGGTGAAGGCAGCCTAAGTCTGCAACTCATGTAGACGATAAGTGGAACCTGGTTAGCAGGGGAGGGTGGTGAGGACATTCTAGGATACTAACATGCTGGATCAAAGTCTGGGACCGTGACTAAGCCTGTCTAAGTGGAACAAGAACGAGGACCTAAGACTGGGGAAATGGGCTGGAAACTGACTTGAGAGCTTGAAAACCAGTCCATGATGTTTGGAGTTTATTTGGAAGGTGTCAGAGAAATGCTGCAGCTTGAATCCATGATTTTTTTAAAATGGCATCTTCTGGAAATTAATCTAGAAACAACATACAGAATTGATTGAGGTGGTGGGTCTAGAATTAAGAGAGCTGGATGAGAAGTTACTGTAGTCATCTAAGAATGAACGGTAGAGCAGTCAGAATGAAAAGAAAAAACTAGGTCTTAAGATCAAATGACATGAGGCCATGTGTGGTGGCTTATGCCTGTAATACCAGCACTTTGGGAGGCTGAGGCGGGTGGATAACTGGAACATGAGTTCAAGACTAGCCTGGGCAACATGGCAAAATCCCAACTCTACCAAAAAAAATATACAAAAATTAGCTGGGCGTGGTGGCACGTGCCTGTAACCCCAGCTACTCAGGGGTTTGAGGTGGGTGGATCACCTAGGTCCAGGGAGGTCAAGGCTTCAGCGAGCCAAGATCCCATCACTGCACTATAGCCTGGGTGACACAGCGAGACCCTGTTTTAAAAACCATGAGATCAAATGACATATTACATTTTGAAATATTCTTTTTATCAAGGGCTGGTATCAATGCTCCAATAACACATTTGGCTTTTCTACTTACCTTTTTCTTCTTGCCTCGTAACTTTTCCTCCACTCATTTGCTTTATCCCCAGCAACCTTGTCCTAACCCTCCTGCCTCTACTGAAAATCACCAGTGGAGAGCTCAGGTTGGGTATATCGAGACGACCTGGCAAAACTGCCACAGCCGCAGTCACAGCCTCCAGGCCTCTGAACACTAGGTGGTTTCTGTCTGTCCCAAGGGCCCTGGCTTGCCCCTAATCAGAGCCAGCTATTTAAAAAATGCATATCACAAGGGTACGGAAATGTGATGGACGGAGTGTGATTCTATTCCCAGTACCTAGTAGGGCAGGGGAGGAAGAGACATTGGCAGACCTGTCACTTAAGATGTCTTGCCACTTTAAACATCTCAACATTTAAAGGATGTCAGTATGATGGCACTCTTATTTAACAAATCTCTATGGAGGACCCAGTGGGCATAGTGATCATTGTGATGTGTGTGTTTTACACTTTGACGGGAGATATGAGTCATCTCTGAAAATGCCCTGATCCACAGGTGTGGAGGCCTGGGTTTTTCTGCCAGATCTGCCACTGACAAATGGGGTGAGCATTATTCATTCAACAGAGATTACCGAGCCCGCTATGTGCCAGGCCCTCGTAGGCTCGGGGGAATGCCAGTGAACAGAAGAGACAAAGTCTCTGCCCTCAAGAAACTTACCTACTTGTAGAAGGAAACAGAAAAAACGTATATGCCAGGTGGTAATCAATGCTAGGAAGAAAAAAGAAGGTTAGAATGGTAGAGGTGCTGGTTATTATTTATATGTAATGAAACTTGGGCAAATTCTTCATCTCACTGGACCTCAAAGTTCCCATATGTTGATTCAATGATCTTTGCCAATTCTTAGGTTATGGGGTTCCACTAATCTTGGTGTGAATTTCCACCTGGCCCTCTTGGAATTATTAATGTGCTAGTTCAAAAATCGCAGGAAAATGTTCTTTTAAAAAGTGTACAGATGTTTTAAAATGCATTTTATGTATAACTCTGTTGTAGAACTTAAAGGAGCTTACGGGTCATCTAAATAATACCTCCTCCCTCATTTTACAAGACAACGCGACCCAGAGGGCATATAGCAATTCCTTGATAGAAGTGGTTCTAAGACACAGGATTTTTGTTCTTAGTGTTGTGGGTTTTGATTGTTTGCTTGGACATCTCTTCTATAATGAAAACTCAATTTAAAAAAAATTTTAGGCTGGGCATGGCGGCTCATGCCTGTAATCCCAGCACTTTGGATTATAGACTCATGTCTCACTCAAGGCAAAAGGATTCCTTGAGGCAAACTGTTTAAGACCAGCCTGGGCAACATAACAAACCCCATCACTATTTTAAAAAAAAAGAAAATAAATTAGCCAGGTGTGGTGGCTCACATGTGTAATCCTAGTTACTCAGGAGGCTAAGGCAGGAGGATTGCTTAAGCCCGGATGTTGGAGGCTGCAGTGAGCTATAATGACACCACTGCACCGCAGCTTGGATGACAGATTGAGACCCTGCCTCTAAAAAAATAAATCTTGGTAGTAGAAGAAATATTTTTAAAAGCATGTTATTTTAAGTTCAGGGGTAGAAGTGCAGGTTTGTTAACATAAGTAAACGTGTCATGCGGGTTCGTTGTGCAGATTATTTCATCACCCAGGTCTTAAGCCCAGTACCCATTAGTTATTTTTCCTGATCCTCTCCCTCCTCCCACCCTCCACCCTCTGAAAGGCCCCAGTGTGTGTTGTTCTCCTCTATGTGTCCATGTAACTTTCTTTACCTGCTATATTCCTCCAGAAAGCAGAAAAGAAATGGGAGGAAAAAAGGCAAAATCTGGACCACTATAACGGGAAAGAGTTTGAGAAGCTCCTAGAAGAAGCTCAAGCCAATATCATGAAGTCAATACCAAATCTGGAGATGCCACCAGCTGCAGGCCCACTGCCAAGGGGAGATGCCCCAGTGGACAAGCTGGAACTTTCAGGTAAGGTCCAGTCCCACAGCAGGAACATATGGAGGTACATGGCCTTGGGCAAATATGGTGCCATCCACAACAGGACATACTCATCAACAGAACCAATGTCTCAGTTCTTACAAATCTTATAAAATGTAAAACTTGGAAGAGCAAATCTTCTGGTGTTCCTTAGATCTTTAATACTATCTCTTTTTTTCCTTTCTTTCTTTCTTTTTTTTGAAATGGGGTCTTGCTCTGCCACCCAGGCTGGAGTGTAGTGGTATGATCATAGCTCACTATAACGTCCAACTACTGGGCTCAAGCAATCCTCCCACCTCAGCCTCCCAAGAAGTAGCTAGGGCTATAGATGTGCACACCACTGCCTGTGTCTAATTTTTTTTTTATTTTTTGAGAGACAGGTTTCTCACTGTGTTGCCTTGGCTGGTCTCGAACTTCTGGCCCCAAGTGATCCTCCTGCCTCAGCTTCCAGAGTAGCTAGAATTATAGGCTTGAGCCACACTTGATTTCACTACTACTGTTTTACCCTAGCCATAGAGAAGCTGAGTTCTGTGTTAGGATTCTAGAATAATGGCCAATAAAGGAAAATTTAAATTCCTAGTATTTGCGTTTTCTACGCATTTGTGATACTTCACCGCATGAGCTGGGAAAATATTAGGCCTGCATTTAAGACAAGAGCTTTTTGTATGCTGACAGAAAGAAAATGGTAGCTTTTATGAGCTACCAGGGGATCTTAGATCATAAGGCAAAATTGCATTTTTTAATCAAAATTATTAGACTATATATTTAACCAACTCAACTATGGAAGTTAAATGCTAACCTGTCAATAATAATATAACTTCTAGGAATCTCAACCTATTAAATATTCCATCATTTACAAACCATGCATCTTATTCTGATCTTAAAATTATGGACCCAGATGTTATTTTACTTGCAGCCTAATGTCTCCTCAGTGTCACATTCCACAGTGCCTTATCCAGCAACTAAAATTAATTTGGAAAGGAATCTCCATCTTGACTTGCATGTCAAGAAACATTAAAGTGGATTCCATTTATAACCACTATAGAGTCATCCCTTGGTATCCACGGGAGATTGGTTCCAGGACTCCCATCGGATACCAAAATCTGAGGATGTTCCAGTTCCTGGTATAAAATGGCATGGTATTTGCATGTAACCTACTCACATCCTCCCATATACTTTGTGGGGCCAGCACACCTCAGCTGTGCGACTCCACTGCCTGCCTCCATATACTTTCAATCATCCCTACATTACTTATGATACCCAATACAATGTCTACACATTACTTCATTTGTGTGGATTCAACATAGTACTTGGCGCAAGGCAAATTCAAGTTTTATTTTTTGGGATGCGGAGGGAATTTTTTTTGTACATATTTTCCATCTGCCGCTGGTTGAATCCACAGATGTGGAACCCATGGATGCAAAGGACCACCTGCACCTGTCTCCTCCCCAGTTTTCATCTAGTTCATCCCCTAAAGCTCCACTCACTGCAGCCCTCCCCCTCTGTCTGTGCTAAGAGGCTTTTCTTATGCCTTTCCCCACCTGCCAGTTGTGTCAGGTCTGTCTAGGGTCCTAGGCGGGGCAGCTCTTCTCACACAAAGGTGACTTTCCTCCCATAGTTCCCATGGAGAATTTCTGATGGAGAAAATGCCCTAGCTCATCACACTTTTTTTTTTTTTTTTTTTTTTTTTGAGACTGAGTCTCACTCTGTCACCCAGGCTGGAGTTCAGTGGCATGATCTTGGCTCCCTGCAACCTATGCCTCCTGGGTTCAAGCAATTCTCCTCCCTCAGCCTCCTAAATAGCTAGCATGGCAGGCACCCACCACCACACCTAGTTAATTTTTGTATTTTTAGTAGAGACGGGGTTTCACCATGTTGGCCAGACTTGTCTCGAACTCCTGACCTCAGGTGATCCACCCACCTCAGTCTCCGAAAGTGCTGGGATTACAGGCCTGAGCCACCGGCCAGCTCATCACGTTTTTATCTTGCCTAATTCTGCTCTCTCTGCCGCATTATTAATTTTGTCATAGAGTCCTCTGATGTTTTATGCAGGTCTCATAACTGTTCCCTCTCATGACTGAACAACAAAAACATATTACATTTTGTTCACTTACCTCATTTTGGCTCTTGATTCTATCCGATTTTTTTAATTTGCATAAATCACTTTTAAAATTACTCCCCAAGGTATTTTGACTTAGTTCAAATGTTCTTGTTTTTTCTTTTTCAATGCATCTCTGACTTGGTCTCAGAAACAGTCCAGTGATGGACAGGCTACCAGAAATGTGTGAAGGTAGCATCCGTGACCTGTAAACATTAGTTTCTGTCATTTTAATTTATTTGTCATGGAATTATCATTTTATTGTATTTTTGTTTATTAATGAGGCAAACTTCTAAGTGTAAAGTTTCAAATACCATTTGTATTTCCCCTTGTGTGAATTTTCTGACTATTTGGATAATGGAGGAATATGGATAATGATCGAAAATTGATAAAGGCCAGCGTGGTGGCTCATGTCTGTAATCCCAGTGCTTCTGGAGGCCAACACAGGAGGAATCACTTGAACCCAGGACTTTGAGAGCAGCCTGGGCAACATAGTGAGACCCCATCTCTACAAAAATTTAAAAAGCAGCTGGGCGTGGTGGCGCACACCTGCAGTTCCAGCTACTCTGGGCTGACGCAGGAAGATTGCATGAGCCCAGGAGTTTGAGGCTGAGGTGAGCTGTGATGGCACCACTACACTTCTGCCTAAGTGAAAGAGCAATACCCCGTCTCAAAAATAAAACAAAAAAGGCCAGGTGCAGTGGGCTCATACCTGTAATCCCAGCACTTTGGGAGGCTGAGGCAGACAGATTGCTTAATCCCAGGAGTTCAAGACTAGCCTGTGCAACATGCAAAACCCCATCTCTATAAAAAAATAAAGAAAGAAAAAAATAAAGAAAATTAGCCAGGTGTTGTGGTGCACACCTGTAATGCCAGCTACTAGGGAGGCTGAGGTGGGAGGATCACCTGAGCCCGGGAGGTCAAGGCCTCAGTGAGCCTTGATCACACCACTGCATTCCAGAGTGGGTGACAGTGAGACCTTATCTAAAACATAACAAAATTTAAAAAATTTTTGTTTAATTAAAAAAATCAAATCTACTTCCTCTCCAACTTTGTTCTCATTTGCATCCCATTTTTTCTCTGGCCCTCCCTAGGCCAGATTCTACTGTGACATTGACCTTCAGCAGAAAACCCTCTTGCTGATGCTATTTTTTCAGACTGAGGGATGAAGGCTTTGGAGGCCAAGCAGGGGGCTATGGATTTGCCTTTGGGCTCCAATTTTTTTTTAATCTATCCAAGTTCTACTCAGCTTTTTTACATAACAAGAATATTATTTAATAATATTAGTAATAGGTAGTACTTTACATAGCATTTACATTAAGCCAAGCTCAGTATGTAAGTCATTCGATCCTAATGACACCCCAAAGGAAAGTATATTATAATACCCACTTAACAGATGAGAAAACTGAGACTGAGAGAGGTTTAGTAACTTGTACAGGGTCTTTTTGGGATTTAAATCCAGTTGCTCTTTAGGGTCTATACACTTAATCCTTGCTCTATGGAGAGAATAGAAAATTTCTAAATCAGATTGCATTGAGTTTGTAGCAATATACCAGACTTTCTGGATGTTTTCTTGCAAAAAGATTATTCTTGCAATGGTGCACTGTTTTCCAGAAGATTCTCCAAATTCAGAACAGGACTCGGAAAAGCTGGGGGGAAAGTCGCCCCCTCCTCCTCCCCCACCTCCTCGTCGAAGCTACCTGCCAGGATCGGGACTCACCACCACGAGGTCAGGCGATGTGGTCTACACCGGCAGAAAGGAGAACATCACCGCTAAGGTCTGATAGGCTAAGCCCTGGTAAACTGGCCTCTGGGTTCAGATGATACCCTTAGACAAGGTTCTGTCTGTTAGAACATAAAAAGTAGTGAGGCAGAGAATTAGTGACTCGACCATACAAGATCCCCAGGAAGCACCACAGGTGGGACAGTGGCAGCCAGTATGATTGGACTAGACCCAGACCATGAGTTTCATCCTTGTTTGACTTTTAGCTGCGACAATATGAAACGCAACTCACAAGCTATTTCCTATGTGGGCATCATAAGATTGAAAATGAGAGTAGGAGGGGAAAACAAAGATTATCTTCCAAAGGTAACTGAGGTGAGCTGACACTGTTGTGGGAGTCTATACAGAAAGATGTTCAATGAGCTTTAGATTCCACTTAACTAGCCAAGTGTTAGCTTTTATGTTAAATGTAAAACACAATTTCCAAAGAGATGGAGTATGGGAGGGCCTTTTATGAGGACTGTATTAGTCTGTTCTCAGCGTGCTGAAAAACACATGCCTGAGGCTGGGTAATTTACAAAGGAAAGAGGTTTAATGGACTCACAGTTCCATGTGACTGGGGAGGCCTCACAATTATGGCAGAAGATGAAGGAAGAGCAAAGGGACTTCTTACATGGCGGCAGGCAAGAAAGAGATTGTGCAGCGGAACTCCCATTTATAAAACCATCAGATCTCATGAGACTCACTCACCACCACGAGAACAGCACGGGAAAGACCTGCCCCCATGATTCAATTACCTCCCACCTGATCCCTCCAGTGGCACGTGGGAATTATGGGAGCTACGATTCAAGATGAGATTTGGGTGGGGTCACAGCCAAACCATATCAAAGACACTGAATGTTGAGGAGTTCCAGTTATATTATCATTATTTAATCCATTCATCAAAATGACAACTTATGCAAACACAAACCCAAACTAAATGTAAAGGGATAAAATAACCTTTCAGCTATTTTCTCAGCTAAGATCTAGGAAGCCAGTGTTATAGGCAGTGAGGAACCATCTGTCCCTTTTTTGCTAGCACCTAGGAGATGTTAAGCCACTATCCATGGTTTCAATCTCCCACAGGCAAGCAGTGAAGATGCTGGACCAAGCCCACACACCAGAGCCACAAAATGTCCAGCAGAGGAGCCTGCTTCAGCCTGGACCCCATCCCCACCCCCTGTCACTACCTCCTCCTCAAAGGATGAGGAGGAAGAAGAAGAAGAAGGAGAAAAAATAATGGCAGAACTCCAGGTATGTGGGTGCGGTGACTGACATTGGCTCCTTGCCTCCTGCCTGGGTCTCTCCAGCCATGGTACTTACAGATTCATTAGCAAGAGAGCCAGGAAAGCGCATGGACTGGGACCATAGAAGCTGTGTCTTCTGGCCTTGGCCTTTGCTTTCCCAAGACGGTGCTGAACAAGGCTCTCAGGGTGCCTATGTGATGTGCAAGGAATGACCGTTTCACAAAACAACTCACGCTTTCCTAACTCTGGCTGGTAGGATTGACTCTCCTTTCTTTCCATCTTAAGATACTCTGCTTCATTTCAAAAGCAAGTAAGATAAGGATTAAAAATACCAGCCATTGTCCTGTCTTGATAAGGACAGACTGAAGCACACGTTAGGTGGGTTCCCATTCCTTGGCTTTACCACTTAGAACCACTGACCTTGGATTGTGGACTCAAGGCCAATGACTGGCTTCCTGTGGTCCATACCAAGTCCCTGTTCAATATCAATGTCATCTTTTCAGATATTATGAAAAGCTGAATTATTTTGTTTTCCATTTTCCTTGGTCTATTTGAGAAATGATACTCTATTAGTTTTAGATATTTATTTTTTAACTATGACATAGTCCACTCATAGGATGAAGGGTGGGGTACCAAGGCTGTGCCCAAAACTGATCCCACATTCCCATCACGGACGTGATTCTACCTCAGGTCTATATCCTGAGAATTTGTCTCATCAGAGACATGTACACAATTCCTAGAACAAACTTTGTGTAGAATATTTCATTTGCCTCATGCTTCTTATGGGATTTTTCTGTCAATCAGATAGTTGGAACACCAGCACCTTGAGGCTCAAAACCATGTTAGCTTCTTACCAGTGTACCAATGGCTTTGTGCCAACCCATAAATTTTCATTTTTTCTTTGGAGTAGGAAGAACTTTCAATCCACATTATTTTCACTGCACTTGTTCTACTCTGGTTTCCATGGTAATAACTGCCAAAATTGAGCTGCCTGGATTTTGCAGGGAAAACAGAACTGCTGGTTGAATTGTCACATTCGTGAGCCCTTTCACGCTTCACTAAAATTCACAGACTAGCCTGGGACATCCCCGCAACCAATCAGGCTATTTGCAGGTTTTTAGAAGGCTTGGATAATTGTTTTCATAGGAAGCACAGATTTATAAAGCTGGTATCTTTCAGGCTTGTGGATAATTTTTTACACCTCTGTAAGAGAAATACTAAATTTGTTGCAGCCACTTATAGCCCGCCACTGAGGGACACCTTTCTCCATTGAAGTCTAAATATTTGATGCCCTCTTTGACTACTTTACAGACATTGGCATATCTGGCTTCATGCCGTATTCTTGGTGGTTAGATAATAAGAGTGGTGGCCAGGCGTGGTGGCTCACGCCTGTAGTCCCAGCACTTTGGGAGGCCGAGGCGGGCAGATCACCTGAGGTCAGGAGTTCGAAACCAACCTGGCCAACATGATGAAACCCCATCTCTACTAAAAAATACAAAAATTAGCTGGGCATGGTGGCAGGTGCCTGTAATCCCAGCTACTCAGGAGGCTGAGACAGGAGAATCACTTGAATCCGGGAGGTGGAGGTTGCAGTGAGCCAAGATCATACCACTGCACTCCAGCCTGGGTGACAAGAGTGAAACTGTCTCAAAAAAAAAAAAAAAAAAAAAAAAAAAAAAAAAAGTGGTGAATGAAGTACTCTAACCTTAACTCAGCAAACCCTATTGGCCACTAAAAAAAAAAAAAAAAAAAAAAAAGTGGTGAATGAAGTACTCTAACCTTAACTCAACCAAACCCTGTTAGCCCTCTGGCTGGGATAGAAACCCAGCCTGCTAAATCCGCAACTAGGTCAATGGCCTGTGGCCATAATGCTTCTCTTATTTCTGCACCTTCTCAAGGCAAGACAAGGAGCAGCTGTGGCCCCTTCTAAGGACAATTGTGCAACCACTTTCTGTGCTCCACATCTCCAGGCATCAGAAGAAAAACAGGCTCTGAAATCGAGGGCCTAATAGCTCAAAGGAGATGGCAGTTGGCATTTGTAAGCAGCGCTCTAAGTAAGCGGATAAACCAAACACATCCAGGGCATGCTAGGACTGGTGTGACTAAGGAGCAGCAAGGAGGCCAGGTGCAGCAGAGACAGGGGAGCAAACAGTCTGGAAAAAAAAGGCCAGAGAACGTCCCTCACCAGCCACCTTCAGATTTTAGGACCAGTGATGGAATGTTTACTGAAGGAGGACATGTATTATTCTTTCTGCTGGTAGAGATATCTCCAAATGACAGCATTTGACATAAAGAAAACACTAGGCAATTATTTAGGCTGATTCATTTAAATACGTGATCTTTCACCAGGCACAGTGGCTCACACTTGCAATCCCAGCACTTTGGGAGGCTGAGGTGGGCAGATCGCTTGAGGTCAGCAGTATGAGACCAGCCTGGCCAACATGGTGAAACCCCGTCTCTACTAAAAAAACTACAAAAAATCAGCCAGGCATGGTGGCGGGTGCCTGTCATCCCAGCTACCTGGGAGGCTGAGGCAGGAGAATTGCTTGAACCCAGGAAGCAGAGGTTGCAGTGAGCTGAGATCTCACCACTGCACTCCAGCCTGGGCGACGGGGCGAGACTCTGCCTCAAATAAATAAACAAACAAATAAATAAAAATAGTTTTTAATCCTAGCTGCACATTAGAATTACTTTGGGAGTTTAAAAAAAAAAAATTCCTACAGCTCAGAGATTCTGATTTGTGTGTTCTCTGAGTGGGGTCTCAAGAGTATTTGAGAACAACAGTATTTTTTTTTTAACCTGGGTGGTATGTAGCCTGGTTGAGAACCACTGATGTCCATAAATTTGGGTCCCTGAGTTCCCAGTCTCTCCTCTCATGATCAGGACATTGCCCACATGTCGGCTTCTTTTTTAGCCCTGTAGACACCATCTACGTCTGTACTTTCTCCCTTTGTCTGAGAACTGGCCTCCCTGACTTAAATTCACAAGAGCCAACTGTTGGCTCTTACAGTTTTCAGACACAAATCTCCAGGGTGCAGGCAGCTCCTAGGCCACTCGGAATGACATCATTGCTTAAAAGCATCACTTTATTCTCAATGAGCCTCAGAATGCCTTGGAGCGCGGTAGTAGGTATTTCAGAGAAGGATTGCTGAGAGTACTTTTATTCTAAGACTTCAAGGTTTAAAATGTCTTCTGAGCTTTTGCTGTATAATTTCAATAAAGCTCATAAAAAAATGAGGAGGAAGAAAAAAGAAAGATAGTTGTTTGTTTTAATTTATTTACATATTGAGCATTTTTTAAAGGTGAAAGCAAGAAGCCCTCCTCAGTACCAATTTAGGTTCACCCCAGATAGGCAGAAAAGGGAGTAGTGTCTATTTTATCTTGGCATTCCCCAAGAAAGGAAGGCAGCCTTTGCCCCAGGCTCAGCCTCCAAGCCAGCTTTGTCAACATGAGAGAACGTGGGGAGCAGGATTTCAGGGTGCCGCCTCCCTGGCCTAAACCTGCCTGCAGGAGCCGGGCTGGGGTCCCCAAGCGTCCGGTTGTTCCTGCCTGTTTCCGTCCGTTCTCCTCAGTACCCTTGGATCCCTGTTAACCTCAGTATTTTAATTCCTCAGGCATTCCAGAAGTGTTCCTTTATGGACGTAAATTCAAACAGTCATGCCGAGCCATCCCGGGCTGACAGTCACGTTAAAGACACTAGGTCGGGCGCCACGGTGCCACCCAAGGAGAAGAAGGTAACGTGGCAACTGCACATTTGCCACACGGTTGGGAGTCCTTCCTTCCTTGCTCTGACACTAACACGGCTCTTGTACTCGACCTTTGTCCCCTCTGTCTTTTTTCTCTCTCTTTTTTTTTTTTAACTAATGGAGACACAGGTGTAGGTTAAAATCAGATATCTTGCTCAGGTTTTCAGAGCAAACACTGTGTTCCAGCCCACAGCATACAATAGTCTATGCAGAATTTAGACACTATCTTCCCAAACTAGAGAGTATACACCTCTCAGTACTTTCTAGAACAACTCTAGAAAGAAATATATAGAAACAGCAACCAAGTATTTAGCAGTTTTTCTAATTTGTAACATCCTTTGGGCAAAAAAGAAAAACAACTATGTTTAAAAAAAAAAATTAGGTAAAAACCAGCTGGGTGCAGTGGCTCACACCTGTAATCCCAGCACCTGGGAGACCAAGGCGGGTGGATCACCTGAGGTCAGGAGTTCGAGACCAACCTGGCCAACATGGTGAAACCCCATCTCTACTTAAAATACAAAAAATTAGCTGAGTGTAGAGGTGGTCACCTCTATACTCAGCTACTCGGGAGGCTGAGGCAGGAGAATCACCTGAACCCTGGAGGCGGAGGTTGTAGTGAGCTGAGATCGCACCACTGCACTCCAGCCTTGGCAACAGGAGCAAAACTCTATCTCAAAACAAAAAAAAAACAAAAAAAAAAAACAGTAAAAACCTTTGATTTGGGGAAGAAAATGCATGGTAGAAAGTATCTACCACCACACACAGGTGTAACTTCATGGAAACATACAAATGTGTATTTGCACAAACGTCCAAGGATGCCAAACAGAATTTTTGCTAAGTATTATCCATTTATAAAGTATACCTTCCAAGATAGTAAGTTCAGTATAGTTTTAGTATTAACATATATGTGTGACATCAAAAAAAAAAAAATCCAGGCTCTGAAACAAAGTCTGCTGACATTGTATAAGTACTCTAGGGAAATGACCATGGCCTGAATGTTTGAAATGCAACTTTAAGTTGTACCTAGAGCATCTATGATTTTTAGATATAGAGATATCTTACTTGAATTAAGCCTCCATCTAAACTTCAGGATAAAAAGCTTGCAATGACCAACTCAAGGCCTAATATTTTTCTCCAGGGACTTATCTTTCAGAATTCAAAGATTCTAGCTTTCCTTAAACAAAGTCAAACTAATCAGATGCAAGATAGCCCGATAGCTACTACAGATGGGTACCTTGGTCCATGTATGACAGCTCAAGGAGGTAGATGTAGTATCACAAAACTGAAAGGCTATTCTAACACAACAGTTCAAGAGACACAGTTTTGGGCTCCCAGCTCCCAGCCCGCCTTGCCAAGGAGACCAACTCACTTCTCCTTGGCTCATAGCCACGATGGTGCCCTTGTATAAACTCTCTGCCACATAAACTGACATGTGACACTGTTAATAGGGGGAAGAGAATCTCACTATATACCAAGGGGGGTTACTGTTGATAGATGTTTCTCATGAAGAAAACCTGGCCTGGCCTGGTGACTCACACCTGTAATCCCAGCACTTTGGGAAACCAAGACGGGAGAATCACTTGAGGCCAGGAGTTATCCAGGGTGCTTACTCCGGATAATTAATCTCAGTAGATTAACCTACTTCAGAATGACCATGAGTATCCAACTTCTCTTATCCCCAATTTTGGGTCCTTATTAACCTCTTCCAGGGCTGAATATTTATCCTTCCATAAATCAGATGTTTTCTTAAGCATTTTTTTATCCTGTCATCACTGAAACTCCAGCCTAGTTCTTCACTTGTATGCAATTTTCCTGTAACCCTGTCTCTCATTTTGGTTTATTGTCCATATGCCTATTGAATGCTTTTCCAATTGTCTTCATAATCCAAATCTCAGGGCCTATAAATACATATTAAAGAGGCATAATTACCTTTCACGCAGAGTCTTGACTATCTAAGACTAAGAAATCATCGTGAGTTTACGTGACAATTACGACTAAGCTCATGCACTTGCTTTGATACATTAATTCATTTTTTTGTAGCCCAGTGATAAAAAATATAGGTCGTGTGAAAACCAAACTTCACATTTCTATCCTAGTGACTTTCCATTGGAGCATTTGTGCTACTACTCAATTTTAAAATACATATATTATGGGGGGTGGGGTGTGGTTGAAATTTATTTATTTATTTTTGAGACCGAGTCTCGCTCTGTCACCCAGGCTGGAGTGCAATGGTGCAATCTCAGCTCACTGCAACCTCCGCCCCCCGAGTTCAAGCGGTTCTCCTGCCTCAGCCTCCTGAGTAGCTGGAATTACAGGGGCGTGCCACCATGCCTGGCTAATTTTTGTATTTTTAGTAGAGACAGGGTTTCACCATGTTGATCAGGCTGATCTCAAACTCCTGACCTCATGATCCACCCACCTCCACCTCCCAAAGTGCTGAGATTACAGGCGTGAGCCACCACACCTGGCCTGAAACGTTTAATGATGGGAATGACACGGGCCATGACCAACCAGAACAGACGCCAGCCCTAACCCCCAGTAAACAGACCCCAAAAACATCTGCCACGTATGTGTCTTTAGATCACATTCCAATTCCATCTGCGATTCAAGGTCAAGTTCTCATTCGGGTCCTAGCATGATACGCTGACTCCATATCTGGAGTTGTAACCTTAGGCTGAAACCTTATTTTTTTTTTTTATTTACACGTATATATTTTTTGAGATGGAGACTTGCTCTGTCGCCCTGAAGGCTGGAGGGCAGTGGCATGATCTCAGCTCATTGCAACTTCTGCCTCCCAGGTTGAAGCGATTCTCCTGCCTCAGCCTCCCGAGTAGCTGATATTACAGGCGCCCGCCACCATGCCCAGCTAATTTTTGTATTTTCAGTAGCGATGCGGTTTCACCATGATGACCAGGTTGGTCTCAAATTTCTGACCTCAAGCGATCCACCCACCTTGGCCTCCCAAAGTGCTGGGATTACAGGCGTGAGCCACTGCACACAGCCTATTTTTACTTTTTATTTTTGTGTGTATGTGATGGAGTCTTTGCTGTGTTGCCCAGGCTGTTCTCGAACTCCTGGACTCAAGCAATCCTCCCGCCTCAGCGTCCCGAGTAGCTGGCATTAGAGGAAGCTCAATTATTTTTCTTCTTTAAAACCTTTTACTTGACATATTCATTGTTTCATATTTTAAATTTAAAATCCCACAAAAGAAGCCCTGTGTTTCCACTGTAGCAGCCGAATCACTGCACTCATTTGGGGGCTTCCTGGGGAGCAAGCAGAAGTAAAACAGGAGGTATTTGGTGGCTCGTGTACCCTGTACTTCGCGCAGTATTTCCGTGTGATTAATTCTGACTGCGTTGTTTGTGTGTCATTCCTTGGGTGTGTATGAACAGTCTTTCCATTCTTAACCAAGGTCATAGGGTTGCTCTGGGTTGACTTTGGCTGGGCCCGGGTGTTCGTGCTTTGTGTTGTCATTGCTTTAACCGTAGCCTTCATGGGAATTGTGCTCCATCCTGCTGTAATCAACCACCTCGCAAGAAGAAAGGGCAGCAGTGCCTTGGAACTGACAAGGCATCACTAGTGTTAGTGTTATGTCAGGGCCTGAGGCTACTGATACACCTTGGGAAAGGCCAGGCCTCCAGGTGAAGTGCTTTGAATACCTGGGTCCTCACCACTGGATCCTTCAATCCTGAATCTTGGTGGGACCCTAAGACATGTATCTTCACTCTACACTGGGAAATACAGAGAATGAAAGCTGAGTCGTGATGTCACCGTCACCAATTTAACCTCAAATATCTGCTTTGTGAATGTTTAGGTTATATTGTGACAGCATGATGGCTATGAATTGAGGTTATATTGTACCAGCATGATCACTCTGAATTTGGATTTGATCATCTTGGCTATGAGGCGTGTGAAGGTGATTTTGACACTTTGACACCTGCAGTATAAACCGCATTTCCATTTGTCATTTGATCAGGGGAAAATAATGTTTTTTCATCCCAAAATGCCAAACCCAACCAAGGCAGATGTCTTTATAGGACAATCTCCATAATAGAAGCAGAGAGAGGACTGAAATAACAAGCTGTGAGGGAAACTAAAATTCCCCTGGGCTGGCTCCTAAGATTTTAGGCAAGAAAACTGAGGCCAAAGAAGTAAAGTGATTTATCTAAAGTAACAGTTTAGTGGCAGATCTGGATTAGAATCAAAACTTTCTGTCAGCCCACACATTGTGCTTTTCACAATTCTTGAGGTTTTCGATTCTGCTAGGCTCACAATCTGATGTTGAAAAGAGGACATGTTAGTAATGACTCTGTCCCTTTATTCTCTTCACTACTCCCCCACAAAATTTTAAATTCTTGAAATCTTTTGCTAATTGAGATTTTCATCTTGTGCAAACACAGGGCATTTTTGGCAGTTGGAGAACAAAGCAATCCAAGGTAAACAGCTCTAGGCTTTGGATTGGTGTGTAACAATTATGCGTGGCCCGCATGTCTTAGAAATGTAATTAAAGGAACGGTTTAGTTATAGTCCACTTTTGGGGGCAATGTGGTTTTGTGGAGTAACATGTCCTACACTGTTCTACCAGAATTTGGAATTTTTCCATGAAGATGTACGGAAATCTGATGTTGAATGTGAAAATGGCCCCCAAATGGAATTCCGAAAGGTGAGTTCACTAGATCTGTTTTCCAACCGATACCATGCACATTAATTGCCTGCCTCTGCGGATCCATTGCTGATTAACGTGTGTGGTTTCCCTCCTCCGTTCTCCCTCTCAGGTTACCACAGGGGTTCTAAGACCTAGTGACCCTCCTAAGTGGGAAAGAGGAATGGAGAATAGTATTTCTGATGCATCAAGAACATCAGAATATAAAACTGAGATCGTAATGAAGGAAAATTCCATATCCAATATGAGTTTACTCAGAGACAGTAGAAACTATTCCCAAAAAACTGTACCTAAGGTCAATTTCAGCTTCTCTGGCGTTAGTTCATTAGAAGATGAAATAAGCAAAGGGTCTAAAGTCTCAGGCCCCCAATACTCTATAGCTGACACCGAGAACCAGAAGCTGAATTATGGAAAGACAAAGGAGATGGAAAAGCAAAATACGGATAAGTGTCACATTTCCTCTCCTAGTAGAGTAACAGAATCGAGTGTGCATGATTTGAAAACAGAAGATCAAGAGGTTATCATGACAGATTTTGGCCAAGTTGTTCTAAGACCCAAGGGGGCAAGGCATGCTAATGTGACCCCTAATGAAGACGGAGAATCCAGTCCAAGTTCTCCCACTGAAGAAAATGCAACCACTGACAACATTGCCTTCATGATTACCAAAACCACTGTCCAGGTTCTTTCCAGTGGGGAGGTGCATGATATTGTTAGCCAAAAGGGAGAAGACATACAGACGGTTAATATCGATGCCAGAAAAGAGATGGCCCCCCGACAAGAAGGGACTGACAGTGAGGAGCCTGTTGTGTGCCTGGACAAGAAACCAGTGATCATCATTTTCGATGAGCCCATGGACATCCGGTCTGCATATAAGAGACTTTCAACTATCTTTGAGGAGTGTGATGAGGAATTAGAGAGAATGATGATGGAAGAAAAGATAGAGGAGGAGGAAGAGGAGGAAAATGGAGATTCTGTAGTCCAGAATAATACCACTTCCCAGATGTCTCATAAGAAGGTGGCCCCGGGCAATCTTAGAACAGGACAACAGGTGGAAACAAAGTCACAGCCACACTCTCTGGCAACAGAGACCAGAATCCCAGGGGGACAGGAAATGAACAGAATGGAGCTGGATAAGTTCAGCCACGTGGATTCTCCACATTCGGAATGCAAGGGTGACGACCTGACTGATGACCAGTTTGAAAGCCCCAAGAAAAAGTTTAAATTCAAATTCCCTAAGAAGCAACTCGCCGCTCTCACTCAAGCCATTCGCACGGGAACTAAAACAGGGAAGAAGACTTTGCAAGTGGTAGTCTACGAAGAAGAGGAAGAGGACGGCACCCTGAAACAACACAAAGAAGCCAAGCGCTTCGAAATCACTAGGTCTCAACCTGAAGACACCCCTGAAAACACGCTGAGGAGGGAAGAGCAGTCCAGCATCGAGAGCACGTCTCCGATTTCAAGAACTGATGAAATTAGAAAAAACACCTACAGAACATTGGATAGCCTGGAGCAGACCATCAAACAGCTCGAAAATACAATCAGTGAAATGAGTCCCAAAGCCCTAGTTGATACCTCAAGTTCTTCCAACAGAGATTCTGTTGCAAGTTCATCCCACATAGCCCAGGAGGCCTCTCCCCGACCCTTGCTAGTTCCAGATGAAGGCCCCACTGCCCTAGAGCCCCCTACGTCGATACCTTCAACTTCACGTAAGGTATCTTGGTCTGCTGGAAAATGAAAAGACCCAGCTGCTTTCCTAAATCTGCCATAATCACCATTAGCAAAAGGTGTCTTGTGACTTAATTGCTTTCTTTCAGGTGGCTTTTTTTTTTTTTTTTTTTTTGGTCTCTTCGCCATGAAACCCTTCTTTCATACTTTCTCCCTCACCTTCAAAACAACAACAACTAGGTGTCTAACAGCTAATCAATTCTGTTTTTGCCTCTGTTGCTGACTGGTGTTGGGTAAACACGAGGCTGCCGGGTCAGCCATGTGCTGTTGAAATCATTGCTCTGATACTCACATTAAAATCCGTTTGATCAGTAGTGAGCAGTTGATTCTGTTTGATTCTTCTGATTAACCCCAGTTGGTGTCTCCTAGATCTGTCCTGCATGTAGGGCTGTGGCTTCTCACCTTGAGCTTCTCTGAACATAGCGGAGCAGCCTCATGGATGACCTACTCACGTGCTTCTCCTTCTCTTCCCCCTCTCACTGGTCCTTCCCACAGGGCTCCAGCGGGGCCCCACAGACGAGCAGGATGCCTGTCCCCATGAGTGCCAAGAACAGACCCGGAACCCTGGACAAACCTGGCAAGCAGTCCAAACTGCAGGATCCCCGCCAATATCGTCAGGTAGTTTTACCTTAAACCCAATTTTGGATGGACGCTATTTCAGTTAAGAAGCAAGTCACTGACTTAGTTTATACCAAATATTGTGCTTTCTTTGTAAGATAACAGTTTACATAGACATCCTGGATCTGGGGGCATGAAGAAAGTCTAAAAACCATTTGTTAAACTTTTTCACCACGCTTTTGCATGCTTGCAATAAAACATCTTTTACTTTGTGACTCCAAGCTCCAAATTTTAACTGTTAACACACGGTGCCAGACCAGGTGGCTTTTCTTTGGTGAATGTAGTGTTTCATCTGAACACCTCGGGAAGCAGAGACAAACCAACCTGTGGTGGAACTGCCCTTAACGTCACCACTACTAACGTCTATGTTGACTGTATTGCGTTAGAAGCACATTAACGCTCCGTCAAAATGCCCGACCCCCACCCCAGTAATTATCCAGACGCATGGCCCACCTGGCACATGGGAAATGGTAGAGCTGGAATGATGGGACTCCTCTCACAAATGCGTTCTTCCTTTCCTCCTTTCCTGTCCCTCCTTTGCTATGTACGTGGGGGGTTTCTACCAGGTCCAGTAAAGCATAACAAGACTTAGCTCAGGCCTTGAACTGTGTGTGGTTGGTTTTCTTTGATTGAATTATTCTCAGAAGGGCTGTGTTGCCAGGCCCTGTGGGTTGATCACGTGTCCACCTTTCTGACAAAATGTCTCCCGCCATCTTTATTTGCAGGCTAATGGAAGTGCTAAGAAATCTGGTGGGGACTTTAAGCCTACTTCCCCCTCCTTACCTGCTTCTAAGATTCCAGCCCTTTCTCCCAGCTCTGGGAAAAGCAGTTCTCTGCCCTCTTCTAGTGGTGACAGCTCTAACCTCCCTAATCCACCTGCTACTAAACCATCGATTGCTTCTAACCCTCTCAGCCCCCAAACAGGACCACCTGCTCACTCTGCCTCCCTTATCCCTTCTGTCTCTAATGGCTCTTTGAAGTTTCAGAGCCTTACTCATACAGGTAAAGGTCACCATCTTTCATTCTCACCGCAGAGTCAAAATGGCCGAGCACCCCCTCCTTTGTCATTCTCCTCCTCCTCTCCTTCCCCCGCCTCCTCCGTCTCACTGAATCAAGGTGCCAAGGGCACCAGGACCATCCATACTCCCAGCCTCACCAGCTACAAGGCACAGAACGGAAGTTCAAGCAAAGCCACTCCATCCACAGCAAAAGAAACCTCTTAAAGGTCAAATCCTATCAGGCACAAGTCGAAGTTACATTTAAAAAAAAAAAAAAATTAACAGTCTACAACAACTGTTTTCACAAGAGAATGTAACATATTGCTGTATCGTTTGAGGCTTAATGCTAAGTATGTGCTAAATACTGGATTAATAGATTTCAGTAAAGCTCGTTTGGTTTTTGTTTTTTTTTTTTTTTTTTTGGTTTTGTTTTTACTTAGTTGCTATAGTGTCTACCATCTATACTCAATATCTATAAAATGCAGTAAGCATGTGTTACAAAACGAGGTTCTGGTGAGAGAGAAAGGTGCGTGTGAGACGGGAGAATTGTCTTAAGCATATAAAACATGTATGATTCCAGAATTTTAGTATGTTTTGTATAAAACTATTTTTCATTACGGAGACTAGAAGTGAACAGAGAATTACACAAGTGTGACTATACAAATTGTAAAAGATACTATAATATTTCCTTTTATTTTAGTGTTATTTAGCTTTATTACAGATTTCTATTTTTGTCAAAACTTCATGGTTCCTTTCAAGATCTTTTTTGCCAAAACATTTTGATACTATAGCATTGTACATTTGAAAGTAGTGTGCTAGACTATAAAACCAATGAACTTCTACCTGAGCCCTACAGACAGGCATATGTAGAAGGCAATTTATCAAACCTATTGCACTGCCATGAAAAGTATATATAATAATTTGCTAGCCCAAGCAAGCTAGTTTTCTTTGCTTGCTTCTTTTCTTTCTTTTTTCCTTCCTTTTTTTTTTTTTTTTTTCTTTTTTCTTTTTTAACATGTTGAGGTTCTCCAGTTGTTTTCTTTGGAATATCTAACCCCTTCTTTTGTTTTCTGAGACCTGGTAACCAACGCTCTTGCATTGTGGATTTTAAAATGTACACTCTGTACGGTTCTGTAAACCGAAAAACTTTTGTAAATATATAAATATACATAGACATTAAAATACTGTATGTGACAGCACATAGAGTAGTTTTCCCACACCAAAGTTAATTTTTATGCATGCTTTAAAAGTATATATTGGGATGGGCAGAAATGGAAGTATCCATACATTTTTAAAAAGCAACAAGTTTGCACAGCTAGAGTGTTTGTAAATAAATGTATTTGTATAACACAGCCATGTAATATACAGAACTATAAGCAGAGACTTTGCAAAACTAAATAAAGGGCTGCATGCTTATTATTTTTTGTACCTTGTCACTATAACTACTTCCTAGTCAAAGAACGAAATGTAACTGTTACCAAGTTTAATGTTTTTCTGCTTTGAGGCTTTTTTGAGGGATATAACCACATCCACTCAAGAGGACACTACTTTTCTGAAAGCTCTGGGGTGACTAATGATGAGTTCCTAATAAATTAATTGCAAGTGTGGTGCCTTGGATGTGACCTGTTGGCTCTCTCTCTCTCCTCTGTGGCTTATCAAGGTGTGGATGACAGAAAGCAAACCTGGACACAGAGTTTCTACCCTCCGTTCCTGGAGGGGCTCTTATTATTTTCTCTCTTTTGCAAAAACTTCCAGCAGGAGTAAAGTGGAAATAAAACGACTTTATCACTTGGCTTTCTTTCTTTTGAGTCCTCAACTTAAAAAAATATTGTTGGCCTAGAGGGAAATACGCTAACATTACACCATGTGTTTTTTAAAATGGGAAGAAGCCAGGCACAGTGGCTCATGCTTGTAATCTCAGCATTTTGGGAGGCTGAGGCAGGAGGATCACTTGAGGCCAGGAGTTCCAGACCAGCCTGTGCAACATAGTGAGACCCCATCTCAACCAAAAAAAAAAAAAAAATTAAAGTTAGGTGGGCATGGTGGTGTTTGCCTGTAGTCGCAGCTACTCAGGAGGCTGAGGCAGGAGGATGGCTTGAGCCTGGGAGGTGGAGGCTGCAGTGAGCTATGATCACACCACTGCACTCCAGTCTGGGTGACACAGCAAGACACTGTCTCAAAAAAAAAGAAAAAGAAAAAAGGGAAGAAAGTTAGTGAAAACAATACCAGGATTGTGAATTAACCACAGGAAGAATCTCAGGAAACTACTTAGATTTTTCACCTCCAGAATGTTTCATTTGGTGATTTGATGTAAAAAGCAAATATTCTTGGAACTCAGTTGTTCAGTGTTACTGAGTTTCAGGCTGGCTTACTTCAGGATGCCTTTGCCAGAAATATTCATATCTCTGCTCATTATGTTAATGGCAGTCCCGTGTTTCAGGTGGCACTTAGGGAAGTATTTAGGATCCAACATTTCAATCATGTCCCATAATCACCTTAATGACATTATAGTCGTTTATATATAAATATATCTCATAGCTAATTCATGCCAATTTATTTGCTTCTGTTTATGGACAAGCTGAAAATTCTTTATAAGCAGTAGAACAGCAGATGGTGGGCTCACTTTTGCAGTTTAACTTCAGACTTCCCGGAGCTCTGGCAAGGTCACAGAGGTGATGGTAATTTCAGTTAATGTCATGAAGGATGGGACCTGTTCACCAGGTAAGGGAAAACCCCACACGGTCCCATCCACTGCCCTGAGATCCGGCCCAGTGCTGCCTGCCTCTTCAGGAAACTGGAGGAGAAACTACCATGATTGGAGAAACCAGCGTCAGGTGTTGCAAAGACTTCCTATCACAGCACAGACCCAGGAGGTGCCTGTCTAAATTAGTGCAATAGAGCTCCTGCCTCGGTACCCATGCTTAGGCCCGACCTAAGTGTTTTGAAACCTTGTTTCAAACACTTCTCTGGCCTCATTAAAACTTTCCCTCCCTGTGTGGTTGTTTGAAAAATAGAGCCCAGGCTCCTTCCTCATCCCACCAACCAAAAACCTAACACTTCCCACACCTGTGGGCCGGTGGTAACACCTGATGATTAACACCAGAGTCGTGTCAGTAAGTTTCCCCTGTGCACGTGTTTTCTTGAAACGAACGAATCCACGACCCCCATGGGAAAGCCTAAGGGGTAACGCCCCTGGATCCTGATAAAAGCATAGCCCCACAGGCTCACTCACTCTCACTCGCTCCCCACCTCCTGGATGAGCTCTGCTGCCGCTGCCTCCAGACCTCCCATGGAGGGCCCCCCCCACCCTCTCTGGAATCTGTAAGTAAGACATTTCCTCTGTTTGATGCATTTTGGTTTCACCTCATTGGGCCTTAGCTGACCAACACACCCAAACCTAACTACACTCCATTCCATCAGGGCTTCCCTAAAGAGGCGCTATCTCGGCTTACGGCCACTCTCGACAGGGAAACCTCAAGACCACGTTAGAAATTGTAACAATAAAAACTCACAACAGCACCTCGGTTCTTTGAATATCTCCAGTGAATGATATTGGGTAGGATGAGCTGAGCTGGGTTTTCAGATTTTGCTAAACAACATTTAACAGACACTCAGTTAAGACAGTCTCTTTTCTTTTCTTCTTTTTTTTTTTTTTTCTTTTAAGAGACAAGGCCTTGCTCCGTTCCCCAGGCTGGAGTGCAGTGGTACACTCACACCTCACTGCAGCCTCAGACTCTGGGGCTCAAGCGATTCTCTTGCCTCGGCCTCTGGAACAGCTGGGACTATAAGCATGCACCAGCACACCTGCTTATCTTTTAAGTTCACCATTCCATTATTCACTTAAACTAAAAAGATTCTTAGAAATAAACCATGTGGCTTCTCAGGTTCATTTAGCAAAATCGGTCCATTCAGCCCTCAGGGAGCATCTTCTGCACATAGGGTGGGGTGGGGAGGGCATCTGGCCATGGCATCAGTGCTGCTTTCTGGTTGACCACCTTGGGCATGTTTTGGCTTCTTCACCTGTTCACGGAGAATAATACCACCTACTAAATAGGATCATTGGGAGGATTAAATACAATGTATACGAAATTCTGAAGACAGAGTAGAACATACTGAGCACTCAAAAGTTAATGAGGGCCGGGCACAGTGGCTCACACCTATAATCCCAGCACTTTGGGAGGCCAAGGCAGGTGGATCACCTGAGGTCATGAGTTCAAGACCAGCCTGGCCAACATGGTGAAACCCCGTCTCTATTAAAAATACAAACAAATTAGCCGAATGTGGTGGTACACATCGTATTTCCAGCTATTCAGGAGGCTGAGGCAGGAGAATCGCTTGAACCCGGGAGGCTGAGGTTGCCGTTAGCCGAGATCATGCCACTGCACTCCAGCCTGGGCGACAAGGAAGACTTTGTCTCATAAACAAAAAATAGTTAATGAGGATGATGATTATTACTGCTGTGGTGACAACCAGGACACTGTTCTGACCTTAAGAGGCATCGGTCTAGTTGGGGAAAGCGTGGCACACATACCGACACAGATCAAGTCACAGTTGATGCAGATGGGGGAGTGTGAGCCGTCCTGGCAGTCAGCTGCAGGAGTGCACAGCAGCAGGCTTGTCTGGTGCTTCACGGAGGTGGTGACACCTGGCACTGACAGGTATAATACAGAACTGATAATAGTGTTAAAGCATTTTTAAGGAAGCTGGTTTTCTTTTAATGCTGCTTGTGACTGGATTTTTTTCCAGAGTAAAATAGGCATTCACTCGGATACAGAAAAGCCCAGGCCCTGGGAACTGTGGCTCAGAATTGTGGTTCTTTTGTGAAGTTATATTTGCAGGCTTGGGAGAGGGTGCTCCCAGGTCACCCCAACCCATATTCCCCAGATGATGCTCATTCCTGGGCTTGAGTGACAGGGGCCAGGCCCATGGGGTAAGAGGGGCCCATCCACTGGGTGCTGAGAGCAGGCCTGGCCACTCCCCTCCCTGCAGGTCAGATTTTAAACATAAACCCGGGCCTCTTCCTGAATGCCCCACCTTGTAACTCTAGCTAAGGTCCTTCCCACCTCCAAGGCTCAGTAAATGCAAAGGCATTTCAGAGCCACCGGGAAATGTTTTGGAGTAAGTAGAGGAATGACAGCTGCTTCAGCTGAAAATTCAAAAGGTAATTTTGCAAAAGAGGCCAGGTGATATTGTCCAGGAAAACCTACCCCCGGCACTGGGCAAGCACTCATTCCTTGATCTATGCTCCTAAGAAGGTAATGTCCGAAAGAATAACCCCAAAAGCACCTCCGAGAAGAGAGCCCCAGGCCCTCCCAAGGTGCATGTCCATCTAGCTCCAAGTCAGGCGCCCACCTTAGAAGCAAATGTTCGCCCTGATGGAAGCAGAAAGGTTAAGTTATGCTCACTACTCTGCCAAGAATGCAGGAGAGTCTACAGTGCATGCCCTCGATTTGCACAAAAGGCTTAATATTTTAATTGCCCAACATATGGGGTGGTCCTTAATCCTTGTGTCTGTGAACACATCAGCAATAACTGCCATCTGTTGCCTATTATGGGCCACGTAGAATGCGAAGGTGTTTTGCATCTATTGCCTTTTAATCCTCACAAACACTGAAAAAGTTCCTGTCATTTATCCCTCCCCACTTCACTGTAGGACACTGAGAACAGGGAAGAGGTGACAAGTGCAGTATGCATCTCTGGGCACTCGGCCATCCTGCTGGAGGTGGGGGCTGCTCAGGTTCCTCCTTTGAAAGAAGGTGGCTTTAAGGGGAGATTTTTCATTCCTGGAGCACACAAATGAGCACAATGCAGACAATTATCCATTTATGGGATTATTAGATTGCAAATTTTGGTTGCCTCACCTTCAAAAGATGCATAGGTAGGGACGCCCTCCACTTAAAGGACTAACGTTCTCATCTAGTATTGTTGGAAATGCTGTGAATCTGGATTGGAACCTGGGATAGGGACTCCTCTTCCCCTAAGCCCCAGGTGGTCAACTACAACTCTAGGGCCCTGGGCTGGGACTGCAGGGAAGGCTTCACCTACCAGACAGACCATACCCGAGACAAGTCAAGCCCAGCCTAGGTCCTATCCACACCAGGCCCCGCCTCCTCCTGGCCTTGCCACGCCCCTCCAGGTAATGTCTCATCCTGCCCCAGCTAAGACACACCACACCTTTCTGGTCACACCCCTCGAGCCTCAGCATGCCCCTCCTGCTGGTGCCTTCGGGAACTTCAGCTGCTGGAGACCAGGGTAAGCGGCCCCCAGGTGCCTCCTAAAAGGGTTTACTTGAAGTATGGCTTCTCGGCAGGGACTTGTAAGTAGGTACCTCAGACTCTCAGAGTGATCCTTTGAAATTCAAGGATAAGTCTCAATTCCGATGGATCCAAGCTCCCTTTTGTTACAAATGTTTTGTACGAGATGAAATTCCTTATGACATCTCCTACCTACTCACCTAGTTTGAAAAATAAAATACAATGCCCTATTGGCACTGTAACAAAGTTATCGTTATATCCATGCCATACACGCACCCATCAGCAGAGGGCGTGTTGTACCAGGGACTCGAACGCTGTGAACTGGGCTGGTAATGTGACTTTTCCCAAATAGCAAACGACTCTGTTTAAAGCTTTGAACAAAGTAGAATATGACTCTCCCTCACTTTACATGTTCCTGAAAATTTTCATTGCACATTTTGAGGCTGCAAAAGGGTTTAAATGTAAAATAAAATTGGCCTCTACCCTCGGATAATTATAAGCAGGGTTTTCCCTTAGGCAGATGTCCAAGAGGATGTGA